GTGTGAACAGGCTTCTGCCGGGAAACTGTGTTCCGACCGCGGGGTTTCGTGATGTGAGCCGGCTAGCTGACGCTCCAGGAGGGACTGGACACTGAGGGGGACTCGGGGACGTTCCGGAGGCGGCTCCTCCCTGTGACTGGTGGCGGCCCTGGGGGACGGGCGTGTCCTGCCTGGGGGCTGGGAGTGGTGGCGGCCGGGCCCGGTCAGCCGCCGTCCCCCGCCCAGGGCCCCTGGGGGGGTGGGCTCTGCGTCCCCCCTGCACGGGCCTGTGTGCCCCGGGGGACCCGCTGGACCAAGTCTGCCAGGCCTGGGGGTCCTGTCCCTCGGCTCCACACACCCCTGCCGGCCCCAGACGGGCAGCGCGGCCAAGTGGCCGCCAGGACCCGGGATCGAGGGAGCCGCCGCAGCCGACACCGCCGTCCGTAGAGGTTTGTACTTAGTGCTCAGTTCTGCATGTGGATGTTGCTTAGCGAATAAACTGTACATGTAAAACATGTTAATAAAAGGGTTTTCTATTTCTCCTTGTCGTGTGAGGCGGAAGCTGCTGTGCATTCTGACACCTCGGTGTCTGCTGTCACACCGTTTGTGCCCAGTGCAGAGGGCGGGGCCCCTTCTGTGGCTGCTGGGTCCTCAGGGGTGTCAGGAGACCTTGTGCCCTGCTGAGCCGTGCACCCGTCCAGGTGCTGGGCCACCAGCAGGGCCCTTCCCGCCCTCCAAGAGGACCTGCTGGTCAGGAGCAGAGCGTGGCCCTGCCCCCTCCCCGTGGTAGGCAAGGCCTCCTTGGGCCCGTGGTCCTCCCGAGAGGGTGCTGGGCGGGGACTGTGTGCCTGGCCACGCATCCCCCAGCCCACCCCAGTCAGCACACACCAGGGACCTGGGGGGCTGCAGGGTGCGGCTGCACGGAGGTTCAGGGGGGGCTCCCTTGGTGAAGCTCCCGGGAGGGCTAGGCTTCGCTCTCACGTTTAGGCCTGGAACCCACCGCAGCGCCCTCCGGTGTGGAGCGGAAAGTCGCCATTCGCCGAAGAGTCCTCGTTAGCCAGAGCCCGGCCGGACCTCCTGGGTCTGTCGCTGGGTGCCCCGTTCTGTGCCAGCGCCAAGCGCCGAATGGCACCACGCGTCCCCCCAGCCCCCCAGGATGCTGGCTGTTGCAGCTCTGAGGCCAGTCTTGAATCGGGGGGAATGTGTCTTTTTTGTGACACTCTCTACTTTTTCAAAGTTGTCTCGGCTTTTCCACATAAAGGTTGGAATTGGCTTGTAAAAGTGTTTTTAAAAAGTGTTGGGATTTCAACGGGGCTCTTCCTGAAGCTGCACATCCGGGCGGGATGGTCAGTCTGTTCAGCCTTCACGACGGAAAGGCTGCTCCTTGGTTCTGGGGCCAGAAGCCCAAGACCGAGGTGCCAGCGGCTGGTTCCTGGCAAGGCCCCTCTCCCTGGGGCGAGGGAGGACGCCCACCCTTCTCAGGACAGCCCTGTGGCAGCGGAGCTCTGCCCTTGTGACCTCACTTAACCACGACCACCTCCATATGCAGTCACAGGGTGGGGGGTGGGGGCTCACAACTGAGCCCGTAACACGGACTGAGTCTCGAGCCGCCCTGACCGGCATGGCTCGGGGGCTGGGCGTCGTCCTGCAAGGCGGAAGGTAGCCAGCTGACTCCCCGTCAGGGCACGTGCTGGGGCTGTGGGGTTCAGTTCACAGCTGGGGTGTGCACGAGAGGCATCTGATGGATGGATGTCTCTCTCCCTGTGTTTTCCCCTCCCTAAAAAAAAACCCAGCAAAACAACAGAGAACAGAACACTGACAGCCCCCAGTGCCCCAATCCGTGGACACGGGGCCGCCCCACGCCGCCACCCACACTCCAGTTTTGGGGCACACACTGTTACCCCTAGGCACGTTGTGATTGTTAAGGCTGTTGCAAACGTGATTTTCATGTTGAACTGGACGTGTTCCCATGTGGTAGGTAACGTGTAACTGATTTTGTATGTTGACCGTGTCCCGTGGCTTCACTAAACTCACGTGTCCAGCTAGGGGCGTCTTGGTAGAATTTAGAGTATCCCGGACATACAAACTCTGCGGGGCCCCTGCTCCTGTCTACACCCTTTCTGATTCCTGCCGCCCGCCGCTGCCCACAGGCCCAGTGTGTGGAGGGGGACCGCCGAGGTCGCCCGGTCGCCGGTGTCTGGCAGACCACACTCTGGCAGGTTGGGGGACCCGTTCTCCATCAGGGTGAGAACACCCACTCCTCGTTCCCTCTTCCCGAGGACGGACGCCAGAACTGTCAGATGTGCTTCCCTGCACCTGCGGAAGTCCTCATGATGGCGGCCTGGCTCGCCAGCCCTCGTGTTCGGAGGTGGCCCTGGGTGGCCCATTGCATGTGGCCTTGTCCAGATGGGCAGAGCTCGGCAGGTGAGCCGTCTGCGGCACACCCTGACGTCCCCTGACCCGGGGCCTCTGCTGCTTCTCTTCCTACTGCTCAGTCCAGCCAAGGGCTCATCAATTTTACAGGTCACTTCAAAGAACCACTTTTGGGGGTCAGGAAGGCCCTGGGCATAGCGTGAAAGTTTTCGTGTTCTCTGGGATGAGGGCCAGGGCAGGGGCGAAAGGGTCCTGGGACCTGACCTTAGGCTTTAGGGGTCACTCTGGAGGCTGGAGAATGGACTGTAGGTTCAAGGGCCGAAATGGGGCCCACTGGGGGGCGGGGGCTGGGACCTGGTGGTGGCAGCGGGGTGGTGGGAGGGGCTCCCATCGTGAGCATGCTGGGAGTGGGGCTGTCAGGTTTCAGAGTGGACTGGACGTGGGGCGGGCGGGAGAGGCCGAGAGGAGGCTGTGCAGGCGTGTGCACAGGAGACGCTGAGCCACGCGAAGGCAGGGGCAATGGGGCGGACGCCAGCGCAGTGGGGAGAGACCATGGGGAATGGGCAGCCGCACAGCTCTCTCCAGGGATCCTGATGCAGAAGAGGAGCCAGAGGCAACAGGTTGGCGAGTGGCAACGGACAGGAGGGTTTTATCGGGACGGGAGAACAAAGCTGCTGCTGGAGCAACTGCAGGCCTGGGACAGGCGCGGGGCGGCTGGCGCTGGGGGCAGTGACCGCTTCTCCTGTTTAATGACAGCCTTTTCGAGGTGTGACTCACACGCCACAGAAGCCACCCTTTCCAAACACACACTCTGGGTTTCAGTGCCGTGACAGGGTGGTGCGGCCACCACCTCTCGCTGTGGGTCAGCCCACAAAGGGCCCCCTGCCCAGTGGCGGGGGCTTGGCCCGCCCTCCTGCCCTCACACACCCTTGTCCACATCTGTGTCTGGGGAATTGTCTTTCTGGACATTTCGTACAAGTGCAGCCAGGATACCTGGTCTTTTGTCTGGCTTCTCTCATTTGGTGATGTTTTTAGGCTGAAGGAGACACAGTGTGTTGTCCACCTGTCGACGGACATTGGGGTGTTCCCACCGTTGGCCACTCAGGACAGTGATACTGTGGACACACATGTCCACGCCTCCGTGTGGCCTCCAACCTCGGTGCTCTCGTCCCATTCCGCCGCCGCCTCAGGAAACTCCCAGTCTGCTGCTCCAGTACCAGGCAGAAAACGAGGAGAGACCCGAGGCCCTGGGCGCAGGCAGGGCTTCCCGTGGAAAGGCAGAGGCAGAACCTGGAGGGGTGCCACTGAGGCAGGCGACAAGGTGGCCCAGGACAGAGCTCACGGGAAGGGCAGAGGGGGGACTCCAGGTCTTGTCCTGAGGACCCCTTGGGCCCTACAGGGATGGGCGCAGGGGCCTGGCTGTGCCTGGTGTGAGGGTGACCCCAGAGAGCCTCGGAGGGTGCAGCCCTAGAGAGCAGGTAGGTGATGGCCAGGTTGGGCTGCCTGGGGAACACCTGGGTGCACAGGCCCAGTGCAGCTGGACCACGGGTCTGGGGCTGGGGCTCTATTATCTGGGTGTCCTGGTTCCCAGGCTACACTGGGAGCAACACAAAATCAGGGATGCATTCTCAGACACAGACCCACCCAGCCTCCCAGGACACGGGTGGGAGACTGGAGTGAGCACACCTGGGCATGTGCATGGGCGAGGGGTTTCCTGGGGAAAGGTGAGCCCAGGGAGGGTCGAGGGCCGGGGAGAGCGGCCCACATGCAGAGGTGGATCCCCGAGGGGACGTGGCCCTGGATGCCCCAGGATGCATGGCCCGGAAGCGGCGCCTGTAATGGCCACGCTGGCTCACATCTTTGGGGGTCAGGGACCGGCCATCCCGCCCCTCCCTGCGGGCTGCAGACCTTCCGCCTGCCCGCCCCTTTCCACCTCCACGTCAGGTCCCATAGGGCCCGTCTGTTCCCCGGAGGCAGCGCCCGTCCCGTCTCAGCCCTTCCAGGCAGCGGGGGGCAGTGGCTCTGTGCTCGCCGGCAGAAACACGCGCCCGCTCCCAACCGACCCAGTGGGTGATCGCAGAACAGGGCCCCGGGGACCTCGAGCCTCCAGGTGGCTGTGTCGCGCACACCCAGCTGCACTCCTCGGGCCAGAACCTGCCGACGGCCGCGCCCGCGGCCCCTTTAAGAACACGTTGCGCCCTCCGGCTTCCTTTTTCTCGCACGTCCTCCTCCCGGGACGCGGCACCCCGCCCCGCCCCCGTCGGGAGCGCGCCTGCGTTTCCGCGCCGACCTCTGCCTCGCCCCCGCCTCCAGCGTCCGGGCCAACCATTGGCTGCGAGCTAGAGGGAACTAGCAGGGGGCGGGCCCTCCGCCGGAAAAGGCGGGGATAACGTGAGAGCGGCTTCGTCGGGCGATAGAAGCGGTTAGAGCCTCACTGACCCCTGCGCGCCGCCGGAGCCAGGGCGAGCCAATGACTGCGGCGACCTGGGGCATATGACAGGGGGCGGGGCGTAGGCCGGAAGGGGCGGGGCTAGGCGAGCGACCTGTTGGCGCGGTAGGTTGTGGGTGGCCGCACTGTTGGGCGGGGGGTGCGAGTTCCGCCTTGGGGGCCGCAGGGGCGGGGCGGCACGCCCGTCCTCGGGACGCCCCCTCCCCCTCCCCTCCCCGCGCTCACCTGCCCGGCCGGCCCCTCCTTCCAGCTAGTGGGGCCGAGTCCGCAGCCCGCCCCGCCTCGGCTCCGGCGGCCGGCGGCGCCCTGCCAGCCCCGCACCTGGCCCCCAGGGGGCTCCCTAGCGCAAGTCCCGTCCCCTTAGGAAGTCCGCGGCTGGCAGCTCCCTCCGCGGAGGCTGAGCCCCGTGCGTTTGGGCTCAGTGGTGCCGGCGAGGGAGAAGGGGACACAGTCCCACGCGGGGAAAGCTCGCGTACACGAAGACGCCCTGGTCTCTCCTCTACCGCGCGCGTTTGGAAACGCAGCTGTCGCCGCCGCCGCGCCCACTCCGCGATCGGGGAGCGCCGCCGTTAGCGTTCCCCCGGTGCCCTTTTCCCGGTGACCACCCGGAGCGGCGAGTCCGCCCCGCCCGGACCGTCGCCGTGAATGGTTAGATCTCAGCTTCCAGCAGGCCACCCCACGTGGGCCGGGGCCCAGGGCCCCGTCCTCGGCGCCCCACCTCCAGCTCGGGGCACCGTGGGCAGTAGGACTGGGAACTGGGAAGCGCGGGGTGATCCCTGAGCAGCTCCGCCTTGTGTGTTTTTAGACATGGACCAAAGACTGTCAGAGCTGGTCGAGGACCTCACGACCTCGGGAGAGCCCCAGCTGAACGCGGAGAAGATGAAGGAGCTGAAGAAAATATGCAAGTACGTCTCGGGGTTCAGCAGTCCACGGTGACTGGCTGGCCCAGCGAGGCCGTGCTGCCTGGGGAGTGTGTGAGGCTTCCCCCAGGCCGGGCCTGCTGGGCGAGAGCCCCCAAAGCACACGCCCAGCACGGCGCCCCTGGCGCTGGGGTGTCCCGGCGCTGTGGCCCCAGGGTGGGGGGTGGTGTTGGGGCCACACATGAGGGCTGTGGCTGGTTGTGTCTTTGCTCCCCCGTGTTGGGGACAGCACCCCCCTTGAGTGTGTCAGCACACACACGTGACTCAGAGATGAGCCCCCGTTTCTCTCTCTCCTGTTGGAACGTGTGATGGTGGGAGATGGGACATCCCTGGTGGGTGGGTGGCCCCTCGGCGCAGCAGGACCTGTGTGCCCACCCCGCCCTTCTCCCACTGCACACAGGGGGGCTGGGGTCTCCCGAGAGCCCCTCCGACCCCGGGAACATCGGTCTTAGCCTGCGTTTACAAAGCCGGACACCACGTCTCCCTGTGGGCCCAGAAACCCCCCGGCTGCAGCGGCTCTCGGGGCAGAGGCGGCTCACAGTCTGCGGGGGGCGCCGTGGAGCAGGCCCTGGGGGTGTGAGCGGGTGGCAGGGCCGCCTCAGGAGGCGTCTCAGGTGCCGACCCTGAAGCCTCATCTAGTCTTCACGTGGCATGAAGTATCACCTTTGACTTATTTCTACTATTTTAAAACATAAAAACCACTTTTTAAATTCTCACCTGAGAATATATCTGTTCACTTTAGAAAGAGAGGAAGGGGAAGAGAGAGAGAGAGAAACGTTGGTTGCCTCTCATAGGTGCCCGACCAGGGGTCGAACCCGGGACCTTTGGGTGCACGAGACGATGCTCCCACCCACCGACCCACCTGGCCAGGGCCTGCCACACCTCCTTGGCTTGGGGGTTTCACAGAAGCAGGCAGGGACTGGGTGTGGCCCTCGAAGGGGCGAGTGGGACCTGGCAAAGGGTGCATGTCCCCGCCCCCATGAATACTGTCCCCACACGGCGTTGAACCGCCGTGTCCCCCAGTGTCGGCACTTGGTGAGGACCGCTGGCCTCTGCAGGTCGTCGGAGGAGCAGCTGAGCCGCGCCTACCACCTGCTGATGGCCCGGCTGAGCCAGGAACACGCCGAGGTCCGCCTCTCCGCCTTCCAGGTCGTGGGCGAGCTCTTCGGCCGGTCGCACCTGTTCAGGGTGCTGGTCGTGTCCAACTTCCAGGAGTTCCTGGAGCTTACCCTGGGCACCGACCACAGGAAGCCCCTGCCGCCGCCCCGGGAGGTGGCCCGGAGGCTGAAGCAGGCTGTCACCCTGGCTGTCCAGAGCTGGAACGAGAAGTTTGGCGCTGCCTATAAGAAGCTTGCCTTGGGCTACCACTTCTTGAAACACGGCCAGCAGGTGGGTGGGCCTTGGCAGCGGTGTCTCTGTGGATGGGCGTGCCTGGACACTTGGCTGCTGGGCCAGGGCTGCCGACCAAGCAGGCCTGCGAGTCACCAGCAGGTGGGGCCAGGCTCCGGAGAAGGGGGAAGCGGGAAGCTTGTCCTGGGGGTGGGCGGAGCTGAGCCCAGGGGTGGGTGGAGCTGAGCATGGGGGGCTGCCCTGGCTCCTGGGTGGGTCGGCGAGGCACAGGGCAGTGGACTCAGCTTCTCAGACACCGCCCTTCTCAGCGGTGAACTCCTGCTCTCTGGGGACCACCCTCAGACTTTGTGGTCATCCGGGCCCCCCACCTGTCTCTGTGCCCAGCCCGGGGGTGCTGCCACCCCCGCTGCGCTCCCAGGGCCCTGCTCAGGAGGTGTACTCAGGCCCCTGGGTGCGGCCAGCCCCGCCCTGCCTGCTGGTCGGAGCCAGCACCCTTCTGCTGCAGCAGCTGGAGCCGGGGCTCCCCATCACCCTTGTCAGGCGGTGGGGTGCTGCTGGCCGTGGTCTCCCCAGGGACCCAACCCGCAGGCCAGCGGCCCCCCTGGAAGGCAGTGTATCTGGCACCGAACTGAAGGCGCCCTCCGGGGTCTGGCTGGGTGCTGGGGCCACCGGGTCTCCTCTTTGGCCCGTTTTTTCCTTTTGTTTGTTTGTTGAGACTTTGTTTGATCTTAGAGAGGGGGAAGGGAGAGAGAGAGGAAGAGAAACATCGGCTGGTTGCCTCGCGCACACCCCCATCTCGGGACCTGGCCCGCAGCCCAGGCATCGAGCTGGTGACTTCGGTTGGCAGGTCAGGCTCAGTCCGTGGAGCCATACCAGCCAGGCCATTTTTTGAAGTTAATTTTAAAAAACCCTTAAGTTTATTTATTTTTAGAGAGAAGGGAAGGTGGGGGGAGAGAGACACACACACACACACACACACACACACACACACACATACATCGACGTGAGAGGGAAACACCAATCAGCTGCCTCTCCTGTGCTGCCAACTGGGGACCAAACCTGGAACCCGGGCCTGCGCCCTGACCGGGAGTCAGACCGGACGACGCCCGACCCACTGAGCCACAGGCTCGGGGCTTCCTTGGCTCGTTTTAGCTGACTGTCTTCCGGTTCCGTTCGGCTGAGTCCCGCCTTTGCCTCCCCTGCTCAGGTGGACTTTCAGGACGTGGACGCCCGGACCCCGGCGGAGAGGAAGAGGGAGGAGGAGAGGCAGAGGCGCCTGGACCACATCTACCGGCAAAGGTCCGAGCAGGCCGTGCGAGAGATGCAGGGTGAGGTGCTGGGGCCTGGCTGGAGGCGCGGGGCCGCAGCGGGACGCGCCGGCTGGGGAGAGGGCCCCTCCCTGCCCCAGGAGCCGCTCCTGGTGGGCGCCCTCGCCTCGCCCGCACCCTCGGGGGCTCGGCTGGCCAGGCTGGGGAGGAGAGACGTGGGCCTGGGGCCGCTCTGGTCTGAGCGCCTTCACCCCTGCGTTTCCCGGCCTTTCTCGCTCTGGCAGCCCCTCCCCCGGACTCCAGCGTTTGCTCTCCGGCGGCCGGGGTGTGAGGACCAGGGAGTGGCCAGGCCGTGCAGGAGGCGCAGAGCGGGGCGCGGGGCCCGGGTGGGAGAGCCCCGGTGGGGGGGTGCAGGTGCGCTGGGGCTGGAGGACGGGACGTGTGTCCTCCTGGCCCTCGCTGGCCCTGCCCTCCCACGCGTCCTGTCCGTGGCAGCTCGTCCCGAGTGGCGCTCACGGGGGCTCCGAGGAGGCCCTGGGGGCACCGGCATGGGGGCGGCCAGGCTGTCCCTCCAGCAGCCACCGAGCCTCCGCTGACCTTCGGGGCCAGGACGTCGGCCCTGCTGGGGGAGGCCGAGCCCGGGGGTGCTGCCTTGGGAGGTGGAGCTGCCCCAGGAAGCGCCCAGCAGGCCGCTTCTCGGTCTTTGCAGAAATGTCCGAAGAGATCCGGGGCTGCCTGGTGGAGGCAGACAGCTGCTTCCGGCTGCTGCTGCCCTTCGACTTGGGGCCTTGCCCGGGGGCCGCCCCGCCCGCCACGGCCCGCCCCACCGGCACCGCCGACCCTGGGGACGACCCTGGGGACGGGGAGCAGCCGTGCTGCAGCAAGACCCTGCCCGACTGCGCCCGCCCCACCGGGGCCCCCAGCGGGGCGGGGCCGCGCCAGGCCTGCACCGGGGCCCCCTCGGAGGACGAGGAGGAGGAGGACGACAGTGACGACGGCGACCCAGACGAGTTCCTGCGGCACCACGGGCTGGGCTCCCACAAGTACACGCTGGACGTGGAGCTCCGCTCAGGTGGCGCGGCCCCGCCGCTGCCCGGGGTCCCTGCCCACCGCCGCTCCGGGCTGCTGCTGCACCCGGCCTCCTGGGCCACGGACTCCCCGGGGCCGTGGGTGGGGCGGGGACTCCTCAGGGTGGGGTGAGGTCCCCAGGCCCGCCCTGCAGCCCTCGTGGTGACCTGCAGGCGAGGAGGCCGGGTGGGTGAGCCTGGTGCCCAGAGCGTCCTAGAGGCTCCTGGAGTGGCTGCGGGCGCTGCCCAGTCCCCAGGGTCGGGGAGTGGCCCCAGGGCTCGGGCAGCACCCACTCTGCCCTGGAGCGACGTGGGTTCCTGCCACGTCTGTAGAGACTCGGGGCGTGGCGCTCCGAGCCCCAGGCGGCCCCGGCATCCCGGCCCAGAGGCTGAGCTCCATGCACCCCGCCCCCCGGGCGCAGCTTCCTCACGGGCGTCTGCCGTCCCTGTTGGGTGTGGGTGCATGTGGGCCCCCCCCCCGTGTGTCCTGGGCAGGGGTGGGGGCTGGGCAGCCAGCTCATCGCTGCAGGGCATCTTGCCTGTCCCGCATCCCTCGGCGCCCAGGGCCCCGCGAGGCTCAGGGACTGCTGGCCTGTGGCTGGGAGCTGGGAGCAGGGCTGGCCCAGCGCAGGCCGTGGGGCTGCTGGCCCGGGTGGGGGCCGGGGTTAGGGCCCCCTGAGGGCAGCGAGCACAGGGATCCTGGGGCTCCAGGGGCGGGCCGGCCTGTCTGTCTCTGAGGAGGCACAGAGGCCTCGGCCCGGAGCGGCGGGGTGTCAGGGTCAGGCTGGAGCCGTCTTCGCCAGAGTCGTGGGGCAGCGAGTCTCGTCCTGGGGCCTGAGGGTCGGGGCCCTGGGTGTCTGGTGCGGGGCGGAGGCCAGCGGGACTGCAGGTGACCTGCCTGGGCCCTGGGCCCTCTGGTGACCCTGCGCGCCCTGTGCAGACGGCCTGAGGGTGCGGGCGGACGAGGACAACTGTGCTGTCATCCAGTCGGCCCAGGACGCGCTGAAGCTCATCCGGAACAAGTTCCTGCCCGCCGTGTGCTCCTGGGTCCAGGTGAGGCGCGTGGGGAGGGCTGGGGGGCCCGGTGCGGGGGCCCGGCCTGCCAGGTGACAGACCCTCTTGCTGGCAGCTCTTCACCCGTGCAGGGACGCACCGTGGCCACTTGGAGGCCGCCATCGGCCTGAAGGCGGAGCTGGAGGCGGCCCTGCGGAGGTCCCGGGAGCTGGACATCGAGCCTGCGGGGCTGCCCGGCAGGGAGGTGCGTGCCGTGGGCCGAGCTCGGCCTCTAGGCGGGAGCCGGGGGCCCGAAGCGCCCTGTTCCTCCCTCACGCGGGCCTGGCACAGGGGCCGAGGCCCAGCCCGGGGCCTCCCCAGAGGTGAGGGGCTGGGACAGGGAGGCCCCGGTCCCCAGTGCGGCTTCTGAGCGTTGGGTCCCTCCTCGACTCTGCTGGTGCGCAGCCCCTGGGGACCAGCAGGGGGCGACCTTGTCTGTCTCCTTCGACACCCAGGCCGGTGGGGGACACTCACAGCAGGCCGGGCGCGGGGCCTGTGCGGTGAGCCTGGTGGGTCTGCCGGTGTGGCCCTGGGCTCCCTAGCTCCGCACCTTGTCACCTCCGAGCTCCTGTGTGACGCGACCTCCTGCCCGTGGCTGCCTTGCTGCTGCCCCCGGGGCGTCTGGGGGGCGACGGGCGGGGTGGGCGGCGTCCAGGCCTGGCCACCCCGCGGGGCCTCTCTGGGCTGGCAGGTTGGCGGGATGCCACCGCCTGTGAGGAGGGCGGGGGGCCCGGCTGGGTGGGGACTGACCTGGGGAGGGCGGGTGGACTGAGGCGGGCCCCGGGCATGCAGTGTGGGGGCCGCGCGGGGCTGCTGGGGCGGGGAGCCGGCGGAACGGCCCGGCTCAGCCTCGCGGGGCGGGGGGGGGGGGGGTGCACTGCGACGCTGCTCCGGGAGCTGGTTGAGGAGGCGCTGCTGCTGCTGCTCGGGGGGCCCTCGGAGACGGCGCTCGCTCCAGGTTTTCCCGAGAAAGGCCTGGGGTTCCGTCCCCGGCCTGGGCCCTCCCCGCCCAGCTTGGGCCCCGGCTGCGCAGAGAACCGGCTGAGCCCGTGCTGCCTCCTCGGCAAGTGGCACACACACCTGGGACCGAGACGGGCGTGTGCTCGGGCTCCAGGGACCCCGGCCCCGGGCGGTGGGCAGTGGCCTGTCCCCAGGAGGTCGGCGCCCGGCTGCCTGGGACTGTGCGGCCGGCAGCCCCCATGGGACAGCGGCCATCTCTTTCTTTTGACTTTCTGCCTCTGCCCGCTGCTGCGGGGGTTTGCGGACCGTTTGCCGTTGGGCGTAGGTGCTCTGCCCGTCAGAAGTCTAAGCGGGTTTAGCAGGTTTCACTGCGGCTCTCTGCAGGGGCTCGCACATCCGCCTGGGGCCGGGGGGGGTCAGTCTGCCCGGGGCGGTAGGAAGCTGGTCGGGAGATCCCGCCGCCAGCCTGGCGGTCGGTGGCAGGGCGGCGACCCGCGGCCCCCGCGTCTGCCCTGCTGGGGCACGTCCTGTGGGCACTTCTGGACTGCCTGCTGCTTGGCTGTGTGGCTGAGCTCACCAAGTGTTGTGTGTTGTGCGATTAACAAAACAGTCGTTCCTCACCACCCAGTAAGTCAGAGGAAGACAACTTCAAGCATCAGTCCGTTTGCGCTGTCAGCAGCAGGTTCTTTTCGAGTGTGGCTCACCCGTCTGAGCGGCAGAGACACCCACTGGGGGGGTTGCCCTTGTCCCTGCCCCGCACCCGTCGGCGTGGAAGCTGCCCGGCCTTCCCGGCGACCTCGCCCCGCCCACCCGCCGACCCCATGCCGGCTTTCCCGCACCTGCTGGCGGCCGTGGGGCCAGGCCACGCGCTCTGTGCCGGCCCCGGGGGCCCGGCGCGCTGCAGGCGGAAAGGACAAAGCGGGAGACACAGGGATGAAATGTTGGGTGCGTCAGGCTCCCGGGAGGCAGGGAAACTAAATCAGCGACGTGGGGACCTTGGACGCGGCAGGCCCAGTAAACAACCTGCCTGGCGACGCGGCCCCTCCATCACGCTGAAGGCCGAGCCGGGTCCAGGGGGGCGCCCAGAGCAGAGCGGGGTCTGCAGGCACTCCCGTGAGGCCTGGGGCGCCTCAGCCGGGCCTCCCCTGCCCGCCCGCCCGCCCGCCCGCCCGCCCACCCGGCAGCACCCAAGTCCCCTCGCTTTCCCAGGGCACCGGCGCTCCAGACCCCACCCTGCGTCCTCCCTCGAGTTCCCCAGCTGCTCCCTGGGGCGGGGGGGGAGGGGGGGGCTGTGTGACAGGTGGGGGCGCCGAGTCAGGGCTGTCGTGCAAACCTTGTCTTCCTCCCAAGAAGGGGCCACCCCGCAGGCTGCCCCCCCACAGCGTCCTGGGGCTGAGCCCTGCCTCCCGGGCCCCTGGAGCAGCCTGGGCCGAGCGGAGGGCGCGTGACCCCGGCCGGGGCTTCCTCTGCACGCCCCCCACCCCGTGTTGTCTCCTGGGTCAGGGGCGCACCCTTACCCGCCTGCCGCCCAGACCCAGGGGGAGGCTAGTCGAAGCTCCCGCCTGCTGCGGCGCCCTCGGGCCGGAAGTGGGGGGCAGCCCTTCAGGGGCGGCCCCGCGGCTCAGACTCGCCTCCCGCGCAGCCCCGGCCGCTCCGGGTCCCACTGGCCGAGGTCGTCCCCGACCCTCGGGGGGAAGGCGCAGGGAGGTGCCCCGAGAGGGCGCTCCGGCCGGCGGTTTGCCCAGCCCTCAGGGAGGGCATTAGCATATAAATAGCCGCCGGCCGCCGGCCGCCACAGCTGCGCACGTTTAATTTTTAGTCCGAGAGGGAAGGGGCGTGGGAGGCGCCGCTGTCGGCCGGAGACGAGCGCGGGTGGGCGCTGCTCTGGCGGGGCTCCGCCGCCCGCTTGAGGGGGCGCTCGCAGACGGGGCGGCGGCGGCCTCTCTGGTGGAAAGTAATTGAGATTGCGCGCCGAGTTAATTAGATCGCACAGAATTTATTTAACGGCCCCAGCTGCATCGCGGGCGTGCGCTGGCGGGCGGCCGCTCTCCCCGGCCCGGCTCAGATAATTAGTGACCCCGCTGCCCGACGCCTGTACACGGACGGTGTTGTGTATTTTAGCTGTTTTACTGCCTGTTTAATTACGATTGCGGAGACTCATTTTTCTAAATCCTCTTAGCTCGGGTGAGAATCCACTCGTCGGCCCCCCACCCCACCCAGCTGCCTACAGCGGCTGCGTGTCGGGCCGGCTTCCGTGCAGGGCTGGCCGGCTCCCACAGCTGCACCCGTGGGTGGGGGCGATGGGCGCAGGGCCTGGCGTGGCCTCCAGGCCCCCGGACGAGGCGGCCAGGCCCGCTTCCAATGCCGCCGGGAGGGGGCCTGGCCTGCCTTCAGCCGGGGCCTCCGTGGGCTGTGGCCTCCTTCCTGGGGACCTGGGGTGCCCTCGTCCCCACCGTGTCCCCAGCACCTCCCCGCCGCTGGCTCAGTGCCGGCTTCTGACCCCACCCCTGCCCTCTGACCTTGCGGGAGGTGGCCGCCATGCTGCCTTGAACCACTGGGCTGGCCCGCAGGAGCTCAGGGCTGCGCCTCAGTGTCCCCGGCTGTGCCGTTTCTGAGGTCCTGGGAATAGTCCCGCCTGGCGGGCACCTGGTGGGCGGCCCATGTCCAGGCCGTGCGGGGGCTGCAGACTCGTCTGGGCAGCAGTGACTGCCGGGGACTCCCTGACACGCAGCCCCTCTGGAGCCCAGCCCCTTCCCCTGACCCTGGGTGGGCGGCAGGAGCCTGTGGGCCGAGAGCCGTGTCTTCGGGAGCCTGGCCCGCGGTGCCTCGGGCAGGGGTGGCCCAGCCGGCACCGGGGTGGCTCGTGGTCGCGGAGCCAGGTCCCTGACCGCAGGCAGGGTCTGCCCGGGGGCTGGCCGTGGGTCACGGGGGAGGGAGGGCGGTTCCTGCGGGCCCAGCGCCGGCCCTGCGTCTGCGGAGGACGAGGCTCCTCCCGCCCTCGGGTGCTGCCCGCCGGTTCCCGCGGGGACTCGTGGACGGAGGGCTGGGACTCCAGGGGGGTCGACGGGGACGCCCACTCCCAGTTGGAGAGTCGGAGGAGGGCGTGGTCCCCGCAGTTGCCTCAGCAGCCGGTGTGTTTTAGGAAATGAAAATTGGATGGGAGTCCCCAGTGAGGTTCAGCGGTGGGCGCGGCGCGCGTGGTGTTTCGTGGAGACGACCCCGTGTTTAAAGCCTGCGTCCCTGTTCTGCACTGCAGCACCGGCCGGCCCTCGCCCCCTCTCAGAAAATGAAAACGCATAAATTCTGCCCGGCCCCGGATGCGTGCACGCCGCGCAGGCCGGGCCGCACGGCCGGAAGCCTTGGGCCGCTCTCCACCTTCCATAAATTCCTGGGGAGACTCTGCACAAAAATAATTTTCAGGTCCGCGGCTCATTGTTATTCAAACGTGATTGATTGTCGTCATTTGCTCGGCCCGGGAGTTAAGTGCCCCTGTCATTTCCAAAGAGTATAATTGGGACGTTTCACAGGTCAGCGGCGGAGACAGGCTTCCCTTTTGATCAGTGTTAGACTGATAACAAAAATTACAGTTTCCCGTGATTAATGTCCCCGCGCCTCCAGACGCGGGGCTGCGGGCTGAACCCAAACAAAGTGCATTTGCATCTGATTAGGCCTGGCAGGGGGGGGTGCGGCACTGACCCCGCAGGTGCCCCCACGCCCCAGACGGCTGGTTGGTGAGACGCCCTGGCCGGGGGCAGCCGTGCGGGCGCCCCACTGCGGTCCCCGCGGCTGTCGGGGGTTTCGGGGCCCGTGTCGGAGGGTGGGTCTCCGAGTTTGCCTCTGACACCCCGACGCCCCGTTGCTGGCCCTCCTCAGACAGGGCCTCCGCTCCAGGCCCTTCCGTCAGGTGGGCTGCAGTCGGCGGCGGCGTCTGCGAGGTGGGTGTGCCACTCGCCTGGCCCACGAAAGCTGGAAGCGGGAAACAGCACCGGCTGGCCGGGCAGGGCCTTCTGGGTGCCCCCTGCTGCCACCCTCTCGGGAAGGACCAGTCCCCGGGGGGGTTGCTCCTGTGTGGGGAGGGGCAGGACCAGGCGGAGGCTGAGCCGGCCCTGAAGGGTTTTCCGAGCGGGGCTGGCCGTGGACGCCCGGTCCTGGTGTCTGTGGCACACTGGCGTGTGTGAGTGGCCATCAGCCACCCAGTTGGTGACCTCCTCTGGGAGGGCCGTGGACCCCCCCGAGGGGCGCTGTTGCTCCCACTGAGCCAGTGCTGCCCAGAGAGAGGGTGGGGGGCCCGGGTCTCCCCCGTGCGGAGGGCAGAGGGCACCACCTCCAGGGCAGCGGCGGCGACCCCCCACACCGACCTGGGCTGGGGGGTGACCTTGTCCAAGGGACAGGACGCTCCACAAGAGCTGTGGTCAGGTCAGCACCCCCGAGGCCAGAGTGGGGTGTGGCCCAGCGGGCTGAGCTGAGGCGGGGCCTGGAAGGGGGCACGTCAGGGGCCCGGACTTTTTGGCGTGAACCGTGCTCTGTGAGGCTTTGAGGCGGCGCGGGCCCCACGCAGGGCGAGACTCTGGGCAGCCGGGAGGGCGCAGGTCGGGGCCGGGCTCTGGGTGCCGAGGGGGGACACACGGAGCTGCTGGATTCGGGGACGCGGGGGTCGGCTGGGGGACAGGCCAGCGCGCTCAGCCGGCGACGCCGACACCCCGGCCTGGAGGACCAGCCCCACTGGGGTGCAGGAACCTCCAGCCTCTGGCGGCTGTGCCCACGCAGGTTCTGGGGTGTCCCCGCAGGTGGCTGCCCCGGAGGACGAGGATGAGGATGACGACGACTTTGTGGAAGTCCCCGAGAAGGAGGGCTACGAGGCCTGTGTCCCCGAGCACCTGTGGCCCAAGGGCGGTGAGTGCGGGGAGGGGCACTGGGGGGGAGGTCCCCAGCCAGGGTCCCTGGGCTGTGTCCTCAGGGGTGGGACCTACAGCCCCCGATCAGGGGTGGGGGGGTGGCCGTGCTCGGCCCAGGAGGCCCTGCAGGTCGCGGTGCCCGCTGGTGGTGCGGGCGCTGCTCTCCCTGGCACCTGGCACTCTGCGGTCATGCCCGGGGCCTGCTGAGGCCGCCCCAGCGGTTTCCTGCCGCCAGTTAGTGCGAGGGCCACCGGATGGCCACGGGGGACCGCAGAGGGCCCCTGCGCTGACCGCCCGCTGTGGCGCGGGGCCGCCCTGCTGGGGAGCCTGGGGTCCCGGCCCTGGGGGGTGAGTGCAGGGCTGGGCCGTGGGCCCTGGGGCAGCACGGGGGCCTGCCGTGGGCACTGCCTCCCGGGATGGGGGGCACCCACAGGCCGAGGGCGGGACGGCGAGGGACAGCCCACTGGGCCCCTGGCCACGCCGCTGAGTCTCTGCAGCACCGGGCCCAGCGGCCCCTCCTCCCAGCTGGGCCCCTGCGGAGGGCGGGCCTCCCTCCGTGCTTCCCCGGTGCTGGGCTCTGGCTGGGCCACGGCCTGTGGCCGTCACCTGCTGTCCACTCTCCTGCAGTGGGCGACGCCTCACTCGGGCAGCAGAGACCCCGCGGCCCTTGGGCAGGAGTCGGCCCTCTGCTCTGGGCAGCTCACTGCGGTCCATCTGTGCCTGGGGGGGCGGGAGGTGGGGATGGTCCGGGCCCTGTGCCGGTCACCAGTGTCCTCTGACCAGCTGCGGGCAGGCGGGCTGGAGAGCACCGGCAGCCGGGGTCCAGAGCGGGGTTCCCGGGCCCCGTGCGGAGGGCCTGGTGGGGGTCCTGGTCCAGAGGCACCGTGCCCCATCCCCCCGTCCCCCCGCCCTGGGGCGCTCTGAGGCCCGGTCACCGAGGGGCTCTGGGGTCCGTCTCCTCTCTTGGGGCCTCCGGGGGCCGCGGCCCCAGGCCGTTCTCACCGAGGGGCCTGCCCCGCCGTGCCAGCGGCCAGGGCTGAGCGCTCTCACCTCTGAGTTTTCAGAGGGGCTTCTATCCCCCCGAACCCTGGCGTCTGTCAGGCGCGGCTCTTTCTCAAATTTACATTTTAATTACAAGGCGGCTCGCTCGGCGATCGATGGTGTCAGGCGGGAGGCTAACTCCGCGCCAGCCCCAGCCGCTCCATTTCCCGCCATCGATCGCCCCGCCCTGCCCCACCGGCCCGTGCTCCCCGCGGCCATGGCCCCCCGGTCCGTGGGAGCAGGAACGGGGGCTCCTGTGACCCTGTGGTCCGGCCGTGGGAGTCAGTTCGCACCGAGACCTGGGCCTGAGCAGACGCCCGGTGGGCCCGCGGCCCCCACTCTCAGAGCCGAGTCCTCCCTGAGGGCCGCGTCTGCTCCCTGGCCCCCCCTCGGCCCGGGTGCCGGCGGGATGGGCTCCCACCACGACGCGGGAGCCGTGGTGCGTGCTCAGTGCCCGAGCGTTCACCCCGCCCTAACGCGCCCGCCCGCCCGCCTCTCCAGTGGTCGGAAACGACAGACGATGGAGAGTGCGTTTCGTCCTCGTAGCTCGGGAACCCTCACGTTGATCTCGGGCTCTCGCGTGTCCGTCCAAACACCGGACACGGCGTGTGCTGGCCAGCCGCTCCCTCCTGAGCGTCCCGGGCGGGCGTGTGCCCGCTCTTGCCGGGGGGCCTGGGATGCTGTGTTGACGACAGAGCCGGGTGGGGACCCCAGCCTCCTGCCCAGGGCACCCCGGGGCTCACAGCACCCTGGGGCTCGCAGCCAGGCCCTCCGGCGGCTAGAGGTGGGCCTGGTCACCTCCACGTGGCTCTGCCCTGTGTCCCCTGCTTTCAGCGTGAGACCCCAAGCAGTGGGGGTGGACCCCACGCTCCCACAGCAGAGGACAGGGCCGGGAGGGCTCTGGGGACCGGGCGGGGGGCTGCCGGCTGCCGTGAGAGGCTCCTGGGCCACGTGCGCCCTGTGCTCGCCTCTGCGGCAGGCCCGGCGGCCCGAGCCCGTGGGTGTCCTGCAGGCGGAGCGCCGCTGCGGTCTGCCGTCCCCGCCTGGTCCGTGAGCCTGCCCGGCTGGCCCTGCCGGGAGCTGCGGCCCGGGGCAGAGGTGACCCTTCAGCAGCCTGGGCTGGCACAGTGTCCTCCCTGCCGCCCCTCCGCCCCCGGGGGCTCGTCCTGGGGGCGGCACGGGCCCGAGGCAGAGGTGACCCCTGTGGGTGCCCGTCGGGGGTTTCTCGGCGCAGCTGCTGGGGTGGGGCCCCGGTGGGCTCTGAGGCCGGGATCGCACCCGAGGGCCGGGCACCCCCCCGCTGTCCCCTCGTCCCTCCCTGTGACCGGGCAGGCGCTCGTGCTGGCGGCGGCGCCGACCTCCGCTCCTCCGGTCCCGTCTGCAGAGGGGAACCTCTCCTCAGCCTGCGTCCCCACCCCGCCGGCCCACGGTCCACGGAGTGGAGGGCCTCGCGCAGGCCACCGGGTGCAGGGGCTTTGAGCGCGGGAGCCCGTCTTGTCCCCCGTGTTCGTCCCCCTGGTCACCGGTCCCCAGGTTTCAGGTTGGCCCGCAGGGGGTCGGTGGTTCTCCATACTTGTTGATTTGCTGTCTTGTTTTTTACGGTGTCCATCCCTTATTTGCTAGATTAACTTCTCTTCTGCTGGTTTTAAAAAGGGTCATTCAGTAGAATAAGAAAATAGAGGCTTTTGTTCTGATGGTGTCCTTGCTGATTAAAGAGTCACACTCACGAGGCCTGTCCCGAAAGCACCCGGCCACGCCGCGTGCTGGGACAAGGCGGCGCTGACTGAGGAAGACGCTCAGACGCCAGGAACGCTGCGCACGGGGCGGCGACGCCCCCGTCCCCGTCGGAGGGGGACCTCACACGGTCCTCCCCGCCGCCGTCAGCCGCCCCGTCGTATGTAATCCCCTGAATCTCATCGGCGGTCTGAAGTCTCTGCCCTTCCGAAGGTGATTTCGGTTTTGGGAAAAGCCACAAGTCCCAGGGCGCCCGGTCAGGGCTGTAGGGGGCCGAGTCCCCTGGGCGATGTGACGTTCCACCAGAGAACTCCACACGGGACGTGAGGCGTGAGCGGACGTGTGGTCGTGGTGAAGCTGCCGGTCACCAGCTGCCCAGAGCTGCAGCCTCTGGGTCATCCGAATGGTTTCCGCGGAGGAACGTTCAAGCTTCGTGCAAAATCCGATGCAGATTCGTTGCTCTGCTCACTCAGCCGTTTCGAGTGCGACGGCCACACTGTGCACTCGGTGGTGCTGGCCGCCCCCACCGACCAGAACAGTGAGGTCGTCACTGTTCACTCGCGCGCCCTCCAGCCCACTGTCCTCGGCCGCCGGGTGACATCGACGTCACACAAACGGCTCTCGTCACGTTCCCAGGGGCTGGGCTTTCTCCAGGCGGCTCCACGTGTTTGCCGCCCGCCCTTGACCCCCGTGGCGTGTCAGCGCGTGCAGGCTCCCCGCACCAGACGGGGGCCTGGCTCCTGGGCACAGGCTGGGCGCCCACGCGGGTGCTGGTGCGGCACCACCGGCCAGTGGGCCAGGAGGCGCCGCCCTTGTCTTCCCGGGACAGGAGGGCGGACCCTGGCCCGCGGGGGGCTCCAGCCGCGTCTGTGGGGGTGGGCGCGCTGCTGCCGGCGGGCTGGCGGGTGGGGGCAGGCTCTCGGCCGACTGCAGCCGTGGGGAGTGGCTGAGGGGAGGGGCTCACAGACGTCAGGGCCGCACCCCACCCTTTGGTCGCCCCCTTCCCTCCCTCCCTCCGGGGCTCAGAGCACAGAGCCCCCAGGGTCTGTCTGGGGGGCAGTGCCCAGGAGGAGACGGCTGTGTTTCAGGGCTGGAGACGGACCCGGCCGCGCAGGACTTGCAGGCGAGGAAGAGGGCGAGGCTGGACGAGGAGGCAAGCGACCCCACGTCTGCGGCCGCCCAGCCTCACTGGCTCCGGGGCCCCGCGAGCCCAGCCCCGTGCCCGAGCCCCAGGTGACTCCCGGCCCCCTCACCTCTGCCCAGGGCACGGCCTGCCTCCCCGGTCTCCCAAGGCCGCGTGGCTCCTTAAAGGCAGCCCTGGAGGTGCCCCCGGGCCGGGCTAACCCTGCCGGCTCCCGTGCCCAGGCAGGGGAGGGCCGGAGGCTCTGGGGTGGGAGGGGTGGATGGCGGAGCACCCGGGCCAGCTCCCCGTGCCACTCCCTGGGGGCAGTGGCGTCCGACTCCCCACGGGGCCTCAGGGCTGCCCCAGAGCCCGACTGGGGACAGGGAGGTCGTCGGTCCCACATGCTGACACGCTGGCCCGGGGTTTGGGAGAGGGAGAGGTGGGTGGTTGTGGCCGGCCTGGGCGTGCACGGTCAGCGTGTCCTGCTCTGTCCCCCTGGCCCCTGCAGGGCACCGCTGGGGCCCGAGGAGGCCGGAAAGCTGGCCGCAGAGCGGGCCCGGGCGCCCATCCTGCCCTTCGGGGTGGACCTGTGCAACTGGGGCCAGGAGCCGCCGGCAGCCGGGAAGGTCGTCAAGTGAGTGTGGGCGTGCCCGGTGGGCGTGTGCTCAGTGGGCGCGGGGCCACCCTGCTGCTCGCCTCCGCCCGGCGGACGCGCGGCCGGGCGCGGGCCCAGCTCTGCCGCTCCCTGGGGAGACGTCCTGGGCCTCCTCCCAGGCGGCCAGGGCCCAGGGTGCCCCCCCTTGGGGCCCATTCAGCCCTCGCCGCCCCTGTCCGTGCCCCGGCTGTCCCCGGTCCCCGGGGCTGGGCCCGGGCTCTGTCAGGGGTTTCTGGAGCACGGCCCCCGGCGTGCTGGCCTGCGCTCTCCGAGGCACCGCAGCCCAGGGGGCGGGTGTCCTCGCGGGCCCGGCCGATGGGGCCCCCTCACCCCGTCGCACAGAGCTGTGACCAGGCGCAGGACGGGTGGCACCTGGCCTCTGGCTGCCGGTCCGGTCCGGGCCTGGCCCCCCGGCAGCGCCCGGCGCACCCCGGTGCCAGCCCCTGACGGCCGGGCTGTGCTGCAGAGCCGAGTCCCAGCACCGCTTCTGGAAGCCCAGCGAGGTGGACGAGGAGGTGACCAGCGCCGAGGTCTCCGAGGGGCTGCGCAGCCGCCGCATCACCTTCGCGGGGCGGTTCGAGCCCGTGCAGCACCGGTGCCGTGCCCCTAAGCCCAACGGCCAGCTCTGCGAGCGCCAGGACCGGCTGAAGGTGCGGGGCCCCGGGCGGGGCTGCAGGCCTGGCAGGGCTGGAGGGGGCAGCTGCCTTGGCCGCTGGGCAGGGCCCGGTCGCCTGAGGGTGGGCTGGGCTCCAGGCCACGGGGGCGGGGTGGCGCCACCCTGGGTGTGCCTGTCCTGGCTGCAGCAGCCCTTTGGCTGCTGGGCTGGAGGGGCCCCGCCCCAGCCAGGAGCTCTCCAGGCAGGACCCTCCCCCACACACACCCTGCCTGCTCTGCGCTGGGCACTGGGCCGGGGAGGGCGGTCACTTTGGCCAAACGGACTCAGGCACCAGGGGCCCCTCCCCGCCAACTCTGTGAGGGCGACGCCCAGGGCCCTTCTTCTGCGGCGGGGGGGGGGGGCGGGGGGCAGCACGAGGTGGCAGAGACGCGGACAATGACAGCCACTTGGCTTTGCCGTAGTGCCCGTTCCACGGCAAGATCGTCCCCAGAGATGATGCGGGACGGCCCCTCTGCCCGGAGGACAGGGCGCGGGAGCAGAGGCAGCAGCTGCAGAGGCAGGCCCAGCGCCCAGGTAGGCACCGGGGCCAGCGAGGGCAGCCCCCAGGGGGCTCCGTGTGTCTGTCTGAGTTCCTGCCGCTCCCGCAGGGTCGCCCAGGGGTCACATTGCCTGTGGGGTCTCTTGGGTGCTCCCGGTGGGAGGTGTGGGCACGGCCACCACCGGAACCCCTGTCACGGTTGGTTTGGTGGGATTCTGGGTGCTGAGCCGTGTTCTTAAGCAGATGAAGAAATCGAGGCAAGACCCCTGGCTGGTGTGGCTCAGTGGATTGAGCGCCAGCCTGAGAACCAAAGGGTCGCCGGTTCGGTTCCTGGTCAGGGCACATGCCTGGGTTGGGGGCCAGGTCCCAGTAGGGGGCGTGCAAGAGACAACCACACATTGATGTTTCTTTCTGTCTCCTCTTCTCTCAATAAGTAAATAAGTTAAAAAAAGAAATTGAGGCAAGAAAAGCTAATTGGCTGAGTCTTAGAGGAAACCCACTTATTTCTGCCCGGGTTCGGGCCCTCGCCAAGCCCTGCCCCCTCCCAGAGCTGTGCCGTGCGTGCATGGTGTGCGCGGGCGTGTTCTGTGCACGGGCAGCGAGTGTGTGTGACGCGTGTGGTGCGTGTGTGCCTGGGAGGCAGGCAGGGGCCGCTGGGTCTCCAGGGGCTCCCTGGGGCTCCTGCCAGCCAGGGTCCCCGTTTCCTGGCCAGTGCCGCGTCCGATGGCCGGTGGGCTGCAGCCCCTCCGTGTCGTCCTGCGGGCAGCTGGGGGCTTGGCCTCCTCACAGCGCCTGTGCCCGGGGGACTAGCAGCGCCCCCTCCCCGCCCTGGGGTGCTCGGATGGTGGGGCCGAGGGGTGCCCTGCAGGAGCGGCGGCACCGGCTGGGCAGCACGTGGGAGCCCTGGGGGCCGGGGTCCTCCCCGCAGAGCCCCGAGGCCGGCGGCAGCGTGCGGCCGTCAGCGGTGGGGCCTTTCTCTCCGTCTTCGGAGGCGAAGGTGAGCCTTCAGCCTGACCCCCCGGGGTGGGCACCGGGCGGCCCTGCCTGGGGCCGGAGGCTGACCGGCTGATCCGCGGGCTGATGCGCGGGCTGATCCGGGGGCCGCGGCCCCCCTGCTGCCGCGAGCGCAGGAGCAAATTAAGTGCCTGCTCTTCCTGTCAGCCCCGAGGAGCGTCTGGTCCCAGCCCGCGGTGACTTGTTAACAACAGGTGCGGCCGCAGCCGCGCTGGCCAGTCAGATGTGAAATGGGATCTCCCCACTAACTGCGTATCGATCGCGCCCCCCTCGCCCGCGGGGCGATCTTCCCTCCCGGCGCCCCCCTCGGCGACAATGCTGCGGAGCCCGGCCGGCAGCAGGCAGGCCGCGGGCCCTGGCACCTATTGATTTTCCTCAGAGGCTTTTAAATTGCTCCTTCATTTTCCTGAGATGCTCATCCCGTCCCGCGCGGCCGCCGCGTCTTCCCGTTGTGTTTAAACAATCGCTCCATTCACTGGGCCCCTAAACTGTGACGCCTTCTTATTACCGGGAGATAAACTGTGCAGACAGTTTTCCTTAATCTTGGATTAATCGTCTCTGTATCTGTGCAGGGCCGCCCGGCTCTCCCTCACTCCAAAAAATCGGCTCGGGGAGGCCGCGCCATCTGTCTGCAGGAGGCGCGCGGCTCCTGCCCGCCCGGCGTGCCCTGCGCGCGGCCCGTGGGGCTCCGTGTGCACGGCCCGTGGGGCTCCGTGTGCTCTGCGGGTGTCCGGCACCCCCCCGGAGCCTGGGTCTCTGGGGGCCTGGTGGCCCGAGGCTGTGTCTCGGGGACCCCGGGGCCTTCTGGAGCGCACCAGCCTCCCCTGGGGACGCAGAGCAGGGCCTGGCGGGCTGGGGCCTCGGCCTCTGGCCCCCACCCCCCCCCCTCGCCACCCCTGCCCTGGGCCGGAGACCCCTCCGACGGAGTTCTCGTCGGTCCTGCGCGTGAGCACATGGCCCGGCCTGCGGCTGGGGATGTTCTCTCCCCCGAGCCGCCTCACTGCCCCTCGTGGCCTGGCCGGGCGGGACGCACGCAGGGGCAGCGGGGCCTCCGGGCGAATGGGCGCTCGTTGCTGAGACCTGGGCCAGGTCACCGCGGGACCCAGAGGAACCGAGCCCCGCCCACCCTGACCCCCGGCTGGGGCCGCACCCCTGGGCAGCAGGGGGGTCGAGAGGTCACAGCCGGGGGTCTGGTGGGGCCCAGTCCGGCCTGCGTGGGCAGCGCTGGGGCGGCGGCGGGGAGAGCTGGCCAGCAGGCCTCCCCGCCCCCGCTGCCGTGGTGGGTGGGCCGGGTGGCCCTCGTCAGGACGGGGGCGGGGGGCGGGGGGGGCGCCGTTGCGGGCACCAGGCGTTTCCTGGAGTCTCGGGGTCTCTCTGCAGACTGGCGCGACCCCGAGCTGACGAGGGACGTGGAGGCGGCCCTGGGCGTGGACCTCGGCTCATCCGGGCCCCGCGGGAGGGGCCGAGGCAGGAGGAGGGGGCGCCCCGGCCTCACCGACCTGAAGCAGCAGGCTGACACCGCCCGCACGCGCATCGCCAAGAAGGTCTTCGCCAAGTGAGAGCCCTCGCCGAGCCCCGGGTCTGGGGGTGCCGGCCAGACCTCCAGCGTCCCAAGGCCTCCGGAGCGCCCCCTGCTGCACCCTGCCCCGTGACCCCCCGCCCCCACCGCACGGACAGGTGTCCCGGTCAGTGGAGGGACAGCGGGCCCTCAGGAGCAGGGCCTGGCGCACGGCGTCCGGGCAGGAGGGGCCCCGGGGCTCCAGCTGGGGCTCCAGGGGCAGGGCCCTCGTGGTCAGGCCCAGGGGTGTCCACATGGAGACTTCAGGGAGGCCAGCTGCCCTGCAGGCCGGCAGGACAAGGGTCACTGCACGGGTCTCAGCCCAGAGCGCTCTGCCAGTGCCACCGGGACGGCGGGCCCTCTGCGTGCTGCTCCCGGGGCCGGTGGGCATCTCCCGGCCCAGCTGGGCCGGCCCGGCGGGCGGGGCCTGGGCAGGGTCCGAGTAGACGGGCCAGCAGCCCTGCGCCCGCCCTGCGGCTGTGGTCGGCCCGCGGCTCCCGCCACATTCCAGGTGCTGCCAGGGAGCGCCAAGGGCGTTCGTGCCTGGAAGCCGCAGGAGGCCGGATCGCCCCAGGACCTCGCAGGCCTGAGCGGCAGGCCGTCCCCTGGGCCCCTGGGAGGTGCTCGGCTCGGCATGCCGGGCAGGGGGGCCCTCCCTGCCTCCCGGCCGGCGCTGCTCTGTGCCGGCGGCCTGAGTGCAGCTGGGCGGGTGGGCAGCTCTTGGTGCCCATGCGGAGCCCCCCACTGGTCTCTGCCGCCCGGCCTGGCCTTTGGGGTCCGGAGGACGCTGGACCCCCGCCGCAGGACACCCTGGGCGCCGCGCCTGGGGAGTGGCTTCCCTGTGTTGCCCTAAAGCCGCTGTGTGGCCTGGAGCTCTCCCAGGGCGGCGGGGGGGGAGCGGGGGCTGCCTACTGGGCACAGGCCCCGCCAAGTCCAGACGCCACCGTCAACGTGGCCGGGCGCCCGCGGGCTCTGCGCCCCCGTTTGTGCTGTGCGTCCCCACGTGTCTCCCCGCGGCCCGGACCCGGGGCACCGTGTGTGGCCCGCAGAGTCGGGCAGAGTCCGAGTGCCGTGCCCTCACGTCACCGCCTGCGCCCACCCCCACCCCCAGCTGGGCGGGGGTGCCCGTGGACGGTGGGGCCGGCCCCGGCTGGGCCACCTCGGGCTCGCGCTGCCCCCTGTGGGTCCCGGCTCTGGCGGGGCCTGAGCACCGTCGCCCCTCACTGGGAGCCTGCGAAGGGCCGGGGGCCGTGGCTGCCCAGGACTGGCGCCGGGCCGTGGTCCCGGAGCCCGAGCCCCGGCCCCCGGTCACGCCCTGCTCTGCTCTCCCTGCAGGGCGGCCGTGCGGCGGGTGAGCGCAGCCCTGGACCAGATGGACCAGAGGAAGCACAGGAAGTTCGCAAACCAGTTCAACTATGCTCTGAGCTAGAGGCGGGGCCGCTGCGTCGCGGTCCCCAGGCCCGCCAGCCCCCCTGTGCCCCGCCAGTGCACCAGGGGGCGCCACGCATGTGGGCCTGGGTGGCCTCTATGCCCTGTGCGTGGTCGAGATGCAGGGTGTGCGTGTGGCCCCGACCCTCATCCCCCAGCCTTGCGGGCTGACGGCTCAGGAAACCGAGGGAAACCCACACCGTTGTGTGAATGCTCTCTCAACGCCAACGCCAAGGGACGCGGACCGCCCGCTGTGCCCCGTCCTGCTTCCTGCTCAGACCGCCCCGGCGCCGACTCCCCCACTCCGCTCAGGAAGCAGCCCAGGGGAGCCGTGGGGCACGCGGCGGGCAGCTGTGGGGGGGGGCAGGCACGTGTCTGGTGCGGGCCCCCCCCCCCCCGGCCCGCACGCTGCCCGGCCCCGCCCAGGCCCCCTGAGCCCGTCTGCGTCTGAGCTCCCCGTGCGGGTCGCGGCGCTGTGTGGAGCCGTGCCGGCCTTCGAGTCTGGCTCCTTGACGGCGCCCCGGCCCTGGGGCCCTTCCGAGGGGCAGCGTGGGCCGGGACGCCATCCCCCTCGTCGCCCTGTGCGCCCCACCACGCGGGGGCCCGCTCCGCCCCCCCCCCAGCTGCTCGCAGTGGTCGGCACGTCCTGGCTGTCGGGGGCGACGTGGCCGGAACATCCGTGTGCCCGTTTCTGCGTGGACGTGTTTGCACTTCGTGTGGGCGTGTAACGAGGAGCGGAGTGGCTGGGTCACGTGGCAGCTCTGTCTCACCTCGGGAGCCGCTGCCCTGCTCCCCGCAGTGGCCGCGCCCCGTCCCCCTCCCGGCCACGCCCGGCTCGGCCCCTCTGGGTGCCTGTGAGCGCCCGTCCTCCCACTGCCGCCGCCCCGGCGGCGCGAGGTGCTGTCTCCTCGGGGCTTCGATTTGCATGTCCTGAGGACTACGGGTGCTGAGCGTCTTCCTGTGTCTTAACTCCTCCCCCAAGGACACGTTTGTCGATTTAGGGGGAGAGGACGGGGCCGAGAGAGAGCGAGCGAGAGAGCGTCGACGTGAGCAAGAAACATCAGTCGGTCGCCTCTCGTACGCGCCCGGACCGGGACTCGAACCCACAGGCTTCGGGTGCACAGGACGGTGCTCTGGCCCTCTGAGCCCCGGGCCAGGGCGAGTCTTCGGAGAAGCATCTGCCTCGGCCTCGGGCCGCCCCAGGCCAGAGCCATGCGGGCTCTTCTCGGTGGGGGTGGGGGTGGGGGTGCCGGCTGCCCCTGGACGGGCCGCTGGGAAGCGTCCAGGGCTGGTCCTCTCCCGCGTGCCCTGAGGGTGTGTCAGCCTCTCGAGGGCAGAGTGTGGAGGGTCCCTGGCCGTTACTTCCCGAAGGGGTCCGCCCGCCCCCCCCCGCCCCCGCTGGGTGCTGCCGTGGTGGGCATCGGTATGGTCGGCGGCATCCCCTGGTCTCCGAGACCCTCTCCGCTTTCTGTGGTCTTTCCCTGGTGCCCCAGACTGGGCCTGGCAGCCCGTCTCCAAGGCCCAGGTTCTTCCTCCTGCCCGCTGCAGGCCCCTCGGCCCTCCGGGCAGTCGTCACCTCGGGTCTCGTGCTTCTCAGCGCAGACCTTCCGCTGGGTTCTCTCCCCCAGCTCGTCCCTCTGCTGGTTCTCCCCATGTGACGGAACGCCGTTCTCACACTCGAACTCCCCAGACGCGGTGTCTTGCACTTCTCCGCACGTCTTACCAGGGACCGGGCACGAGGCCCTGCTGACCGGGCCCCGCAGCTGCTGTGGGCCCCTGGTTCCCTGTGGACGGGCCCTGCTCCCCTCTCCCCTCGTGTGTCTCACAGTGTCTCTAGTCCATGGGACGTTTTAAATACCGGAGGCAGCGACTCTGGAGGTCGGACCCACTGCTGCCCAGAACTTGCTGCGGCTGCTGTCCGCCTGTGCAGGGTCCGGGTGCGTTGTGTGAGGCCTGTGTCCTCTGTCACTCGCACCCCGAGGTCCGCTTGGTGGGCCTGGTGGCCGGCTGACGCTGGCCGGAGCGGTCCTCGCAGGCCCTGGCCCCCGGAGCCTCCCAGTGCTGTGCCAACGAGTCGTGTGTGTGCGCGCGTTCGGGGAGGGGGGGCACCTTCAGCCTCAGCCCGGCCCCCGGGCCTGCGTGCAGCCCGCAGGGCAGCCGGGGCGGAGCACTCGGCCTCTCCGCGGTGCTGGGAGGACCCTGGCCAGCCTCTCCTTCGCCCTGGCTGGGACCTCCGCTGGCGGCCGCATCGTCCGTCTTCAACGGAGCCGGCCACGTGGAGCCAAACGAACACGAGCCTCGCGAGTGGGGTTTTCCTGGCGGCAGCCAGACAGGCCATGTAGCGGCAGCTCTCTGACGACGAGGCTTCTGGGGGCGCCCCGCCCTGGCACCCCCCAGCGGCCGGGAGCTGCTGGCCCTGCGGGCGGACGGAGAGCCCGCGCTGGCTGGGCGCGGCGACCTTCCCGGACACACACACCCCTCCCGGGGTGCAGTGGCCGGGGTCGGGTTTGCTGTGCGTCCGGAGACGGGTCCCTGAGGCCCGGCCCTCCCCGCTGGAGGAGCCGCTCCTGTGGCTGCGCAACGCCCGTCCGCTGTGTGGGTGGGGCCCCGCGGGGACTCGCCCCGCCCACCGCCGTGCCCAGCGGTTCCGCCGCGGGGCGTCTGTGGCCATGTGTCCTCTCCCGCAGAGACCTCTCCCTGGGACCGTGGAGCCCGGGGGGCTGTGCGTGTGCATCGGGGGGGGGGGGCTCCAGAGGCGCTCTCCGGGGTGGTGGCGGCCCGCTCTCCCACCCGCCGCCCGCCAGTGTGCTCGCCGCCCCCCCTCACCCCGCGGATTCACCGCGTTGCACATTCGCTAAGCGGTGTGACAAAAAGCGCAGTCTCATAGTTTAGTGGGTAACTAAAATATCTCTCAAAGTGAAATTTGTTGTTTTTCTTTTCCTGTGTTTATTTTCTGTTGTCTTGTTTATTTCTTATTAAATTGTAGCAGCTCTTTATTATTAAGAAAACTAACCCTGGCTGGTGTGGCTCAGTGGACTGAGTGCCGGCCTGCAAACCAAAGTGTCGCAGGTTTGATTCCCAGTCAAGGCACATGCCTGGGTTGTGGGCCAGGTCCCCAGCAGGGGGCGTGCGAGAGGCAACCACATGCTGATGTTTCTCTCCCTCTCTTTCTCCCTCTCTTCCCCTCTCTAAAAATAAATAAAATATTAAAAAAAAAAAAAAGAAAGAAAACTGGCTCCCCAAGGTGCATTGCAAGTATTTCCTCGCTTTGTGTTCCGGTTTCCCTCGTGTTGCTGTTGGCTCTGCAGACCTTCCGTGCAGTTACTCTAGTCGGTCTCCCACGCCTTCTGAGGCCTGTGTTTCTCCCCTAAGATTCTATTAAAAATTCTCCCATATTTTTTCTGTACTTGCACAGTTTTCATCCCTACGTTTAAATCACTGATCTACGTCTCCTTTGTTTTGACATAAAATGTTACCTGGGGAATCTAGTTTTTCACTTCCGATGGTCTGTCCCCACCGTTTGTTCGGGACTGCATGCTTCTGCAGGTTTGAGCTCCCCTCGACCTCCCGCCCGGGTCCCCTGGACACGCTTCTGCGTCCGAGCGGCCCCCCGCTCTGCCTGCTGTGTGTCACCGCGCCGTCTGAGCCGCGGTGGCCGTGGGCCCTGTGTCCGTGCCAGCGACCTCTTCCTTTCTGTGCGCCGGGAGGCGCAGCCGGGGCACCGGCGAGCCGGGGGGGGGTGTCTGCGAAGCCTGATTCGGGGATCGGGGAGGGTTTGTTGCCGGTGCTCTTCGTGCTGCGTCTTCCAGTGAGTCTCCGTGGGCGTCTGTTCGAGACCAGCTTGTGGGTCTGGGGGTTTCTGGCCGGCGGGGGGTGGGGGGGGCCCTTGTGGAGGGCAGGTGTGGGGCTGGCCTGCGTGGCCGGCATGTGGGTGCAGGGTGTCAGGTGACGGGCGCTGGGGGACCCCTTCCCTCAGGCCCAGGTGACGTGCGGGAGGCTGCACCCACACCGGGGGTGTCCTCAGCACCCCTTCCCTTCCCTTCCCCACCCGTACTTGTCCAGCTGTGGTCTGGGTCCCCGTGAGCCAGGGAGGGGCGAGGCGGCCTGGGGGTCCTGGCCAGCGGACGAGTTTGGTGCAGCCCCACCCCCGGGACCCAGCCTGTCCTCAGCCCCGGAGGGTGGGCTGGGGTGCGGGGACACGGCTGCTGCAGAGGGGCTGCCACACAGGACCGCAGGGGGGTAGCACACGCACCTGGAGTGCTGCCCGCCTGTGGCGGGGGGTCCTGGAGGGAGACCCCTAGGACCCCGTCCTCCCCTCGTGCCGCTCCCTGCACCCCGGAGACGGGCCTGCCCGGCCAGCGCCCAGCCCCTCGCTGCCCTCTGCCCGCCCCACGGCGGGTGCCCCACTGGGAGCGGGCGCCCCCTACTCTGGGGTCTCCTCTCCCTCCAGGGCTGGGGGGCTTCTCTGCACTGCGGGGCCTTTCCTGGCGGCACGTGACTCTCAGGGCTCCCAAGACGGGGACCTGGGGACTCCGCACCGGTCCTGGGTGCCACCCTGGGGTGCCGGGTGTGACAGTTCAGGCCAGCTGCCCGGCAGCAGGGGACACGTGACAAGTGGCCAGGGCAGGTGATGGCAGAGGGACAGCAGGGCACTGCTGCGTGTGGGGAGGGCAGCCCGGAGGGCCTCCTGCTGGGGCGGGGCCGGGCCCAGGACCCGGTGGTGGTGGCCGTGGCCCCCACTGGGCGACAGCAGGCTGGCCCTCGGCTCACCCTGGCCACGGTAGGGCAGGAGGGGCTGTGACCCCGGGGTCCCCGTGGTTTGGAGGAGGAGAAGTGGGGGGGCACAGAGGAGCCCCACAAGGGCGTGGGGTGCTGGGTGGGGGCCCACCTGAGGGTGCGGCCGTGGCTGGATTGGCCCCAGGGTCCCTGCGTGCCAGTGGGGCAGGGGCAGGGGCAGGACAAGGCTGGTGAAACCGATGCCAGGAGGGTGGGCAGGGGACTGGGGCAAGCGGCAAGGGCTCCTTGCAGGGGTGGCAGGTCCCACGCCCCTTCTCCCCTTTTGACTGGGAACGACACTTCAGCAGCTGAAAGACTACGTTTCCCAGCCTCCTCAGGCTGGCAGTGGCCATGTGACCAAAGTGGCCAATGACGTGTGAACAGCTGGCTGTGTCAGGAAAAGGGCAGGTTCCTCTCCCCCTTCTGGGGTGCTGCCTGGAAGGGGGACGTGATGGCTGGAGCCGGGCCCTTCCGCTGGGTCTCTGAGGATGAGGCCCAGCCCGTGGGGGCGGGGGGGACACAGCAGGACCCAGCTGGGTCCCCAAGGACTCTGTGAAGGTGTCGCCGTTGTGCAGAGCCGCCAGCGACCAGATTGAGCTCACACGAGAGAAA